TATCCTCCCACAGATAGTGAGTCCCCCCTTAACACCATCATCACATAACCCATGCACATCCTCCCACAGATAGTAGGTCCCCCCTTAACACCATCATCACATAACCCACGCATATCCTCCCACAGATAGTAGGTCCCCCCCCTTAACACCATCATCACATAACCCATGCATATCCTCCCACAGATAGTAGGTCCCCCCCTTAACACCATCATCACATAACCCACGCATATCCTCCCACAGATAGTGAGTCCCCGCTTAACACCATCATCACATAACCCACGCATATCCTCCCACAGATAGTAGGTCCCCCTCTTAACACCATCATCATATAACCCACACATATCTTCCCACAGATAGTGAGTCCCCTCTTAACACCATCACCACATAACCCAAGAATATCCTCCCACAGATAGTAGGTCCCCTCTTAACACCATCATCACATAACCCACGCATATCCTCCCACAGATAGTAAGTCCCCCTTAACACCATCATCACATAACCCACGCATATCCTCCCACAGATAGTAGGTCCCCCCCTTAACACCATCATCACATAACCCACGCATATCCTCCCACAGATAGTGAGTCCCCCCTTAACACCATCATCACATAACCCACGCATATCCTCCCACAGATAGTAGGTCCCCCCCCTTAACACCATCATCACATAACCCATGCATATCCTCCCACAGATAGTAGGTCCCCCCCTTAACACCATCATCACATAACCCACGCATATCCTCCCACAGATAGTGAGTCCCCGCTTAACACCATCATCACATAACCCACGCATATCCTCCCACAGATAGTAGGTCCCCCTCTTAACACCATCATCATATAACCCACACATATCTTCCCACAGATAGTGAGTCCCCTCTTAACACCATCACCACATAACCCAAGAATATCCTCCCACAGATAGTAGGTCCCCTCTTAACACCATCATCACATAACCCACGCATATCCTCCCACAGATAGTAAGTCCCCCTTAACACCATCATCACATAACCCACGCATATCCTCCCACAGATAGTAAGTCCCCCTTAACACCATCATCACATAACCCACGCATATCCTCCCACAGATAGATAGTAGGTCCCCTCTTAACACCATCATTAGGTTCTTGGGAAGCTTGGCTTTAAGCACAAGATACGTAACAAAGCCATTTCTCCCCTCATTAATCTCACAATGAATCCACATTGAACAAGATGACATATTCACGGACCTGCCATACATCATTTCACTTAAAGTCAGTTTCCAAGAACCTATCCGCAGCGTTAAACGAGGACTGACTGGACTCGAAACCATCTCGTTTACTTATGATACCTCATCCAATGTAAGTGCTATGTAAATAGTTGTATGGGCTGGTGCGTTGGCTCACGTCTGTAATCCCAGCACTTTGGAGGCCAAGGTGGGTGGATCACTTGAGGTCAGGAATTTGAGACCTGCCTGGCCAACATGGTGAAACCGCGTCTCTACTAAAAATACAAAAATTAGCCAGGCGTGGAGGTGCGCCCCTGTAATTCCAGCTACTCGGGAGGCTGAGGCAGAAGAATTGCTGGAACCCTGGAGGCGGAGGGTGCAGTGAGCTGAGATTGGGCCACCGCACTCCAGCCTGGGTGACAGAGCAAGACTCCATCTCAAAAAAAAATTTTTTAGTACAAATAATAGTTGCACAGTATCTTTCAGGGAATGATGGACATATTCAGCATAGACACCATTGTGGGGGACCTCTTCACTGTGCAGTGGGAGCCCGTGGACATGAGGTGCTGTCTGTGCACACTCTGCCTCAGCTCAGTCTCTGTCTTCCTGCAGGCCCTCTGCCCCACATCCCCTCCGAGGCTCCCTGCAGGCCCTCGCCCCACCCTGCCACCCCCTCTGCATCCCCTCCGAGGCTCCCTGCAGGCCTCTGCAGCCGCCTCCCCCCCGCCTCCCCTCCGAGGCTCCCTGCAGGCCCTCTGCCCCTGCATACCCTCAGAGGCTCCCTGGTCCTGAACCTCTGAAGCATGGAAGGCAAATTGTTCCTCAACTGCTTTGACAGGAGCCAGAACCATGCTCAGGCAGCTGGAACCTGTGTGAGGGGCTCGTGGCCTGACAGGAGGGGACTGAAGCCTGGGAAAGTGGCCAGCGCTGGAACAGGGACAGACACAGACTTGGCTGTAGTCTCAGCTGTGCCACTCCCATGGGGTGGCCGGGGAGCCAGCTTCTGAGTCTCAGCTCGCCCGCTGTAGAATGGGGGGAGAACAGCTACCTGCCCGAGAGGTGTGGGCTGGACAATAAGAATAGATGGCCGGCTTGGAGGTGCTCGGAGGGTAGGGCTTTGCACAGGGGAGTTCGAGGGAGGCCTGGAGGGGCATGCAGGCTGCCCTTGGTTTCCTTGAGGTAACCCAAGTGTGGGGTACACAAACCCCTCTGGGCCTGGGCAAAATCCCCCCAGCTACTCTCTGTGCACAAGTGAGCTATCCTGAAGTCCATTTCCCCTGAGAGGCCATGCGGTGGGGCTTTGCAGAGAGGTCCAGTTTCGGGGTCAGCTTTGCTGGGTAGGCTGGGGGCAGGGTGGGCTGGTCCACCCTTCTCAGAGCAGCCGAGTCCACTGTGGTTTTCCAGCCCATACGGCCCTGGGGATCCCTTTGTAACCAGGTGTCCCCGGCTCCAGAGAACCAAGGGTGGCCTCTTGTATCAGATCCATCGCAGAGGACCGCAGAGCTCCCAAGGTACTCTCCCCTCTTCGTTCTTGGACCCATGCCCTAGACAGAAGGTCTCAGGATGCCTCTGGAAACCAGGGGCCCTCTCTGAGGCCCTTCTGGGCCATAGGAGCAGCTCCCCCGGCTTGACTGGGTCAGGTGAGGCAGCTGAGGAAAGGAGAAGGCCCGTGGGGCCAGGGACACACTGCCCACCACTGGAGGTCTCATTCCCGCCCCACCTCCAGAGCATGGCACTGAAGGGCCCAGCCAGGCCTTGGGGCTCGGCCACATGGCCCGTACTCACGCTCCATCCCTGTATACCTTGATGGCGTTGACACAGTTCTTGGCCCAGCCCCCCTCTGCAGGAAGGGGCAGTCCTGTAGGAATTCCAGGCACTGGCCCGTGAAGTTGCAGCCCTCAAGTATTTCTAGGCGGAAGTGTTCCCCCTGCTCCAGGACCAAGCAGAAAAGAAGGAAAGAAGGAGGATGCTGCGAACTCCCCTCTCCCAGAAACGGAGCCTTGTGCAGGAAGGAATTAGGAGGTACCCAGGGCACTGGGCACCTCCACCCCACACACTTCAACCCCACACTTCTGTTTCTTCTTCCACTTGAGATGTGGCTGGAGTAAACAGTTCTATTACCAGCCAGTGAGCTGGTCCAAGTTCCTCTTACTGGAGAATCTGAGGTCCAAACAGAGCCAAACTGACCAGAGGCCACAGGTCACACTCAGACCAGGCTGGGGTCCCGGGGCTCCCTCTGGGGAGCCTGTGGGGCTCCTGCCCTGGCCACACCGACACACTCCGGGTTCTGACTTCTTCACCCTGGCTGCAGGCCACAGGCAAACCTTCAAATGGTAACAGTTTAAAACTGTAACAGAACTTTTTAGTGAAACAAAAAGCCAAATATCTAAAACAAATTCCAGCTCTCACATGCTGAAACCCCTGGTGGCCCTGACGTCATCATCCTTAGGGTCAGCATGTCTCCCCATACCATTCCCATGTTTCCAAAAGACAGGAGGCCCAGCCCCTGCCTGGCTCGGAAGCCTGGCCTGCATCACAGCTGGCCCCAGGAGAGCTCACAGGAGAACAGCAGTTTGCAAGATACCGGGTATATTTTTCATATAAATTGCATGATGCAGGGGCCAGGGCCAACCATTTAAATGTTTTTTTCCAAATGTACCACAGCCTGGAGGAAATACTAAGAAAGCCTTCTTAGAATTTCAGATGCCAAAGCCCAGCTGGTTTTGGAACTGATGTGGAAAAGAGAGGGGCCCCCACACAAAGGTGCCTTCCCTGGGGTCCCTCAGATGTTCACCAGAGCTGCCTGGCCCGGGCGTCAGGGGAGGGTCCTCGGCAGACACGGACCGAGGTGCTCTGTGATGAGAGCTGCTCACCCCAGTCTCACGAATCTGCCACTTCCCGCCTGAAGCTCCAAAACTCACAGCAGGGCTCATGACCTGGGGAACGGCCTTGGTTAAATCCCACCCTCGGGGCCGCTAGACGGAAACAGTCCTGCCATGGGGAAGCCACGCCCCTTATCTGCCCTCCCTGCACACGCTGGGCCACACCTGTTGGGCGGCAGCTCCCTGTGTCACTCCAACAAACCTGCTCCCCAACTTTCCCTGACCTGCGGGTGATTCTCCAGCTTCCTCCATCAGCCATTCCAAGACCCGAGCATGGAAGGCTCCAGAATGTGCTACAAGGCCACCTGTACCAGTGGCCACACCAGGCCCAAACAAATCAGCCTCCCATTGGCTAAGTGTCCCCTCTCTGGCTGGAAATCTAAATTTGGGTCATTTCAACAGCATTTTCTTTTCTTTTCTCAGTCTCGTTCTCACCAGGCTGTAGTGCAGTGGCGCGATCTTGGCTCACTGCACCCTCTGCCTCCCGGGTTCAAACAAGTCTCCTGCCTCAGCCTCCAGAGTAGCTGGGATGACAGGCACCTGCCACCACGCCCAGGTAATTTTTGTATTTTTAGTAGAGATGGGGTTTTACCATGTTGGCCAGGATGGTCTTGAACTCCTGACCTCGGATGATCTGCCTGCCTCAGTCTCCCAAAGCCTTCAACAGCATTTTAAATGGAAAATGCAGCTAAATTTTTGGATCCAAAAGTTAAAGCGCTTTCTTGATACCCCTATGAAAACTCCCAGGGCCACTCCCGATTGGTTCCTAGCAACTTGCCCTGCCCCACCTACTCACCTCATGCTAGAGGGTGGCTCTGGTTATAGTTCCCTCGGTCTTACAGACCTTAAAGCTGGGAGGTTCCCTGCCGCTATCTGCCCAGGGCTGACCCTCGGTCCCTCCAGCAGGAGGACTCACCATTCCTACAGGCTGACAGGAGCCCACGTGGTCACTGTGGCTGTTCCAGCAGAAGAAGTCGGAGTAGTCGCCGTGCTCCAAGATTAACTGCTGGCCCCAGAAGTTGGGGTGATCGAAGCAGACCCAGGCTCTGCTCTCCACGCGGATGGAGTTTACTCGGTTCATAAAGCCTGGAAGTTGTCACAGTCCCTGAAGACCTCCAGCTTCCGCCCCGTGAAGTGCTTGCCCTCACAGGGAGTGATCTAGAAAGGGCAGGTGACAGAGCTCAGGGCTAGGGGCTTCTCTCCTTCAGTGTTGGATGGAGGCTGGCGCTGGGGTCCCAACACCCTCAATGGAACCCCTACTCTCAGGCCCCCCAAAACCCAGGCCTGCTGCACACAGTAGGTGCCCAACATGATTTGCCAACTGGGCAAAAGAATGAATAGCTGTTGGGCTGGTGCCATCCACAGCTCCTGTTCCTCCCCACCCCAGGAGTTCGCAGTGGGACAGACAAATTTCAGTAGCTGTGTGAGGACAGGGATTTTCCCTGTGTCTAGGTGCCCATTTGAAAATGGGCTCTTTTCAACTTCCACTGCATTTTCTAACTTGTTTTTAAATTATTAAAACATAAAGCCAATAATAACATTAAAGGAGATGTTTTCAAAAGAAGAAACTTCACCCACGTCTCCAGTTCGCTCAAAGGAGTGTGAGAATGGCCCTTCCAGGCCCCTTGGAGTCAGGCGTGGCCCTGTGCCTTCACCAGAAAGCAGGCAGACACCTGGTGTTCTGCACTCAGAGTTACTGGGGCTCCTTGTTACTGAAGCATCTCCCGGCCCATGCAGACTAATACGGCAACATGGTCACCCCCAGACACTCTGAAATGTGGCCTTGGAGACTGAAGGCTTCATGGGAGTGGCCAGGTTGGGGACACTGGGGAGGGGGAGGGAGAGCCACATTTCCCATCCTTCCTGCACCACACAGGGCTGGAAGATGGCCCCTGAGACCTTCAGGGAGGTCTGGGCACCAAAGGGATTTGGGGGTCCCTCAAAGCTCCACATTTTTCAGAGAACCAGCCCTAAGTGTCCCTGAAGAGACCCTGGGGAAAAAGAGCCAGAGAGAGGCCAGCCTTGGGCAAAGACGTGCCACAGTGGGGCTGAGGGCAGAGTGACAAGCCAAGCCTCCCCACCCCAAGGAGCCCCAGGGGGTCTGACCACCCTCCCTGCTCCTGACTGGGGGGCAAGGGGTTGGAACCCCAGAAGGAGGGGGCGGAGTTGGAGACCTTCCTATCCACCCACACGAGAGAGGCCCCAGGCCAACAACGAGGCCGCCCCATTTATGAGAAATGAAACCAGCTTCCCGTGGGCTTGTCAGCCAGCAACAGTGTGCACCCTCCTGCAAGTTTCCTGGGGGTTGAGGGACACGCTCACCTTCCCAAGCGCTGCGCCACGGTGGGCCTCGCTCCGCCCTCGGGTCCCCATTTATACCGGGCTGGCCCCTGCACATTAGAGCTGTCGGGCGTGTTAAACCCGAGGGGCGACCCGGTGGGACCCGCCACGGCCACCCTGTGCCACCGCGCTGCAGCCCACCCTGCCCGGGGTCTCCATGGGCTCTGTGCGTTTAGCTCCCAGGCCTCCTTCCTCCCTGAGCCCTCCCGCCCAGCCCGAGGTGCCCCTGCACTGCCCTGGGAGTGGTGGGGGAGAAGGGGGTGTCTCTTCAGACCTCCAGCCTTTCTTCCCCTGTGCTGCCTCTCACCCCTCAGGCCTGTCTCCATCCTTCCTCCCAAGGCCTGCTCTGAGCTCCCTAGCCCACTCTCCTTTCTCACCTGGCTGCTCTCGCCTTGGTGCCAACTTCTTTGTCTCCACGAGGTTGCAGCCCAAGCTTCCCTGGACAGACAGACAGACAGACAGCCCTTGACCGCCCCTCTCCCGGCCGCTCTGAGCTCCCAGGTCCCCGGGGACCTTAAACGTCCTGCTCCAGCTCACCCAGCCTGGCTGCCCCCCACCCCCCAGGACACCAGGCCAGGCCTTGCTCTCCTCCCGCTCTCTTCCTGTCCGCTTAGCTCCCTGGCACTCTCCCTCCCTGGGTCCCTCTCTCCTTGAAGATCCTGCCTAGGTGCCCAGGTGACCCGTGCTGCCCTGAGCTGGGGGCACAGTGCTCTGCCCCCTGCCTCTCCACTGCACCAACCAGACCACCCTGTACACCCAGAACCGGTTTACAGCACAAAAGAGGCCCGCCGTGGAGGGAGAGCTCCCCAAGGCCAGACAGCAGAGGCTCAGAGGTTGTGGAGTGAGCAGAACAAATGTGGGACCACAGGATGTGCAGCCCCCAGGCGGCTGCAGAGGGGAGCTATGAACACAGGCCCCTGGCTCAGAGGGCTGGGGTGGTGGGGGACAGGTCCGAGATCAAAGGAGAGAGGGGCAGGGGCTCCACAGGGGGTTCTGCAGGAGGGGGGGAGGAGCTTCGGGGAGCAGTTTGCTGCTCTTCCCTCAAACAGTAGAGTATATTTTTATGAGCATTTCACAGATGAGACGCTGAGGCCCAGGAAGAGGAGGTTATGTGATCTTGGGGCAGAGAAGTGACCTCACCTCTGCTTTGGGAGGTTTTCAAAAGTAGACAGGGCACGAACCAGGACCTGCATGTCCCCCTTGAACCTGAGGACAGTCTTCCCCAGAGATGCCCCCTCCACTGGCACCCCCACTCGCCAAGCCACACATTCCAGTGTTTGTCTCTGGATGTGGGCCCTGGTGGGGACACAAAATCAAAAACAAAATCTCCTGCCAACCCAGAAAACTTCTCCACGAAGGTAGAAGAAAAAGAAAACAGTTTTACTGTTGAATAAACTTTAAACTGGAATGTGATACGCATCACGACCTCTCCCCTAAGAGATCACAAAGATGGAGCAAGAGCTCACTCTTATGTGGCCACGCAGACACAACCCACTGCATTTGCGTTTTTGGGATAAAATTGCTAATCTTCTCGTATCTTTATGGCTGGAGGTGGGTTTTGCAATTTGGAGTCAGGTGACAGCTGAAGTCAGGCTTCTCAGGAAACGGGAGGGGGGACACTTACTTCTTGATGTCAAGTCTCAAAGAGATGGCCCTGCCTCCCAGAGGAAACATTCCTGAGTGGTTAGACTGGCAAGAGGCTTGTTTCGCCATTAAAAAGATTTACACACATTTGAAAAGGACGGAGAAGGAAATTCTGCAAGAAAAGGGGGAAAGGGAAAAGTAAGCCTTAAAAAAAGGTTTTATTTTTTAGAGCAACATTAGGTTCAAGCTGAACTCAGCAAAAAGTACAGTGAGTTCCTGTATGCCCCCTGCCCCTGCATACACACACACACTCACAATACACACACACACACAGTCTCACACTCTTACCACACACAGCCTCCTCCACTATCAACCTCCCCATTACAGTGGTACATTTGTCACAACCAATGAACCTTCGTTACACATCAGGACACAGGATGAGAGAGACAACGTTGCATAGACTTTGTTAAAGTAACACCTTTTTTTTTTTTTGAGACAGAGTTTCGCTCTTGTTACCCAGGCTGGAGTGCAATGGTGCTATCTCGGCTCACCGCAACCTCCGCCTCCTGGGTTCAGGCAATTCTCCTGCCTCAGCCTCCTGAGTAGCTGGGATTACAGGCACGCGCCACTGTGCCCAGCTCATTTTTTGTATTTTTAGTAGAGATGGGGTTTCACCATGTTGACCAGGATGGTCTCGATCTCTTGACCTCGTGATCCACCCGCCTTGGCCTCCCAAAGTGCTGGGATTACAGGCTTGAGCCAACGCGCCCAGCCCAAAATAACACATTTTTAAAGCCTCCCCGCATAATGTAGTTGATTTTTCACAATTTACTGCTCTTTGTCCAGTTCAGTAACTGTTTGACTCTAACTTTGTCTTTGGGTCTTCACCTCCTTTTAAGGGCTCCCCTGCCACATGAAACTTGTATTAAATAAATTTGTAGGGCAGCTGCAGTGGCTCACTCCTGTAATCCCAGCACTTTGAGAGGCTGAGGTGGGTGGATCACCTGAGGTCGGGTATTTGAGACCAGCCTGACCAACATGGAGAAGCCCTGTCTCTACTAAAAATACGAGATAATTAGCTGGGCATGGTGGCACATCCCTGTAATCCTAGCTACTCAGGAGGCTGAGGTAGGAGAATCACTTGAATCTGGGAGGCGGAAGTTTCAGTGATCCGAGATCGCACCATTGCACTCCAGCCTGGGCAAAAAGTGTAAAATTGTCTAAAATAAAATATGTATGTGTGTGTGTGTGTGTATACACACACACACACATACACACACATATACACGCACATACACATATGCACACACATATGCACACACATATATACACACACATATATATGCACACACATACACACACATATATACACACACATATATACACACACCCATATATATACACACACATATACACGCACATATATACACACATATATACACACATATATATACACACACATATACACAGACACACATATATATACACATGCACACATATACACACATAGATACACACGCACACACGTATATACACACATACACACACACATATATACACACGCATATATACACACATACACACATATATACACACACATACACACACATATATATATAAACACACCTTTTCTCCTGCTAATCTGTCTTATGTCAATTTATTTCTCAGGCCCAGCCAGAACCCAAAGAGGATGGGGGTAGAGCTTTGCTGTCCCTACAGTGTAATGTCATCAATCCACCATATAGAGTATTCTTACTGCCTTAAAAGTTCCCTGTGCACGCCAGGCACAGTGGCTCACACCTGTAATCCCAGCACTTTGGGAGGCCAAGTCAGGTGGATCACCTAAGGTCAAGAGTTCAAGACCAGCCTGGCCAACATGGCAAAACTCTGTCTCTACTAAAAATACAAAAATTAGCAGGGCGTGGTGGCAGGCGCCTGTAATCCCAGCTACTCAGGAGGCTGAAGCAGGAGAATTGCTTGAACTCGGAAGGTGGAGGTTATAGTGGGCTGAGATCACGCCACTGTACTCCAGCCTCGATGACAGAGCAAGACTATGCCTCAAAAAAAAAAAAAAAGTCCACCACGGCCGGGCGCGGTGGCCCAAGCCTGTAATCCCAGCACTTTGGGAGGCCGAGGCGGGTGGATCACAAGGTTAAGAGATCAAGACCATCCTGGTCAACATGGTGAAACCCCGTCTCTACTAAAGATACAAAAAATTAGCTGGGCATGGTGGCGCGTGCCCGTAATCCCAGCTACTCAGGAGGCTGAGGCAGGAGAATTGCCTGAACCCAGGAGGCGGAGGTTGCGGTGAGCCGAGATCGTGCCATTGCACTCCAGCCTGGGTAACAAGAGCGAAACTCCGTCTCAAAAGAAAAAAAAAGTACCCCGTGCTCCATCTGTTCATCCCTCTCTCCCCCTTAACTCCTGGCAACCACTAATCTTTTTACTATCTTCACAGTTCTCTTTTCCAGGATGTCATGTCGTTGGAATCTACAGCATGGAGCTACTATGGTTTGAATGTGTCCCCCAAAACACAGGAGTTGGAAACTTAATCCCCAAGGCAAGAAGACCTTGAAAGCCACCAGCACCTTGATGTTAGACTTCTCAGCCTCCAGAACTGTGGGCCAATACATCTGTGTTCATCGTAAATCACCCAGTCTGTGGCATTCTGTTATAGCAGCACGAAACGGGCTAAGATAGTAAGTAGCTTTTCCAGATTGGTTTCTTTCACTTAATAATACGCATTTAAGATTCCGTCAAATCTTTTCCTGGCCTAGTTGCTCATTTCTTTTTATTGCTGGATTATGTTCCATTGTCTGGAAGTACTACAGTTTAGTTAACCATTCATCTCTGGAAGGACGTTTTGGTTGCTTCCAAGTTTTGCCAATTATGAGGAAAGCTTCTATAAACATCCATGTGTAGATTTTTGTGTGTGCTCCTTTCACTATACACTAACAAGTGTGATTGCTGGGTCATATGTTAAGGGTATGTTTAGTTTTGTAACAAACAAACAAAAAATAAAAGCCAGGTGCAGAGGATTGCACCTGTAATTCCAGCTACTTAGGAGGCTAAGGCAGGAGGATCACTTGAGGCCAAGAATTCAAGACAAGCTTGGGCAACATAGCAAGGCCCTGTCTCTAAAAAAATCAAAATCAAATCAAATGAAAAGAAACCATCAAACAATGTTTCTAAGTAGCTGTATCATTTTCATTCCCACCAGCAATGAATGTGAGTTCCTGTCGCTCCACATGCTCACAGCATTTGATGCTATCAAGTTTTGGATTTTAGCCATTCAAATAGGTGTGTGGTGTCTCTCACTATTGTTTTAAGAGCCCCTTTTTTTTTGAGACGGAGTTTCGCTCTTGTTACCCAGGCTGGAGTGCAATGGCGCGATCTTGGCTCACCGCAACCTCCGCCTCCTGGGTTCAGGCAACTCTCCTGCCTCACCCTCCTGAGTAGCTGGCATTACAGGCACGTGCCACCATGCCCAGCTAATTTTTGTATTTTTAGTAGAGACAGGGTTTCACCATGTGGACCAGGATGGTCTCGATCTCTTGACCTTGTTATCCACCCGCCTTGGCCTCCCAAAGTGCTGGGATTACAGGCGTGAGCCACCGAGCCCGGCCCAAGAGCTTTATTTTTTTTTTTTTTTTGAGACAAAGTCTTGCTCTGTCCCCCAGGCAGAGTGCAGTGGTGTGATCTTGGCTCCCTGCAACCTCTGCCTCCCAGGTTCATGCAATTCTCCTGCCTCAGCCTCCCCAGTAGCTGGGACTATGGGTGTATGCCACGATGCCCAGCTATTTTTTTTTTTTTTTTTGGAGACGGAGTCTCACTATTGCCCAGGCTGAAGTGCAGTGGCACAATCTTGGCTCACTGCAACCTCCGCCACCTGGTTTCTAGCAAGTCTCCCACCTCAGCTTCCAAAGTAGCTGGACTACAGATGCATGCTGCCACGCCCAGCTAATTCTGTGTATTTTAGTAGAGACAGGGTTTCACCATGTTGCCCAGGCTGGTCTCTAACTCCTGACCTAAGGCAATCCATCCGCCTAGGCCTCCTAAAGTGCTAGGATCACAGGTGTGAACCACCATGCCTGGCCAATGTTTGTATTATTAGTAGAGATGGGGTTTCACCATGTTGGCCAGGCTGGTCTCGAACGCCTGATGTCAAGTGATCCACCCACCTTAGCCTCCCAAAGTGCTGGGATCATAGGTGTGAGCCACCGCGCCCAGCAGAGCTTCACAGCAGGGCCAGAGCCCACAAACAACCCACAAAAGTGATGACAATATAATCCAAAACAGAAGCGGTGATTTGGGGTGTTTTCTGAGAAATCTATAGGAAGAAACGCCCAGCCACAAGCCCCACTCAAAGAACTGTTAAAAATGGGTAGATGGACAAGATTACTGCAAATTTCATCTCCATTCCACATTTTAATGCAGTATTTCACTTCTCACCTGGGATTTTATTATAATCGGTTACCAGCGGAGGAGTCTGCTAAGATTCGTATTGTCTATTTGTGCCCAGGTAGAAACGCTGCCCAGAACAGCAACATGATATGCAGATGCCAGCGCACCAGGCCTCAGCGCTAGAGTCATTTCTTAGAGTCACTTTCTGAGTCATCTTCAGCAGAGCACTGTTAAAATGCACCTTGAGATAGGTGAGATCTTGAGTCACCATAAAATTGCCAGGTGGGGACAAAATTCTGGGGGAATGGACTAAGAATAAATATGGTGACAGTGCAGAAACAGCAGGGCTGAGAAGGCTGTTATGGCTCAAAAATAAAATCTCAGTAACATGTGGCCTTAGAACTACCAGTGGCTGCTCAGCGTTCTTGGACAGTTTCAGAGCGTGAAGACTTATGGTTTTACTAATAAATCACCCTGAGCCATCGCCCGTTTGCCTCCTCCCTTCTCTGCCTCTTGTCTCTCCCGTTTTTGAGTAATTCAGAGCACAGAGAAGTACAGGAAATAATATAAGGAGCAATAACACTACCACAGAAAGTTTGTCAGATCTTCACATTTTGCCATGTTTATGTCGGATCAATGTTTTTTCTTTTCTTTTCTTTTTCTTTTTGAGACAGAGTTTCGCTCTTGTTACCCAGGCTGGAGTGCAATGGCGTGATCTCGCCTCACCGCAACCTCCGCCTCCTGGGTTCAGGCGATTCTCCTGCCTCAGCCTCCCGAGTAGCTGGGATTATAGGCACGCACCACCATGCCCGACTAATTTTTGTATTTTAGTAGAGACGAGGTTTCACCATGTGGGCCAGGATGGTCTCCATATCTTGACCTCATGATCCACCTGCCTCGGCCTCCCAAAGTGCTGGGATTACAGGTGTGAGCCCCCACGCCCAGCCAAATAACAGAAAATTTTTAGTGTGGCTACATTATATGTAGCCTTTTGCAATTTGTTTTCTTTGTCATTAGTGACAAGAGTTTCTGAAATGGTGAATGAACAAAGCTCCGTAGAATTCCTCGGAAAACTAAGTAATATCTTCCATCTATATATTTAGTAAGTTGCATACTTAGGAAATCTTCGGTATATAATAAAACCACATAAAAATACTATGCGTTTCTAGGGGAAATTGTGGGACAGTTTCTCCTTGTATGTTTCGGGATAGCCAGTATCCTGGGGCCTCCCCACCCATCCTCCAGCATTCTGACAATGCTACAGAAACACCCTACAAAATTCCAGCTGCACCCTGGGAATAGTACCGCCTCCTTTGAGGTCCGTGCCTCTGGTGAAATTGCTGGGTTCAAGCTTGAGTTCCCCTTCCAGCCACTTGATGCCACAGAGGTCCTCCAAGTGGCCCCACTGACATACAGATGAGATCCGCCTTTGGAGGGTCCAGGGTCAGTTGTGAACATCGGTTCATATGTATAGAGTTTATTTGAATTGGATCTTTTGTAAATTGCTTGTTCATATGCTTTGCTCATTTTCCTGAGTCTTTCCTTGTGTGTGTGTGTGTGTGTGTGTGTGTGTGTGTGTGTTTGTTTCAGAGACAGTCTCACTGTCACCCAGGCCAGAGTGCATGCCACAATCATAGCTCAGTGCAGCCCCAAACAACTGGGTGAAGGCATCCTCCTGCCTCAGCCTCCCTTGTAGCTGGGACTAAAGGCACACACCCACATCCGCCTAGGTTTTTACAATTTTTTGTAGAGACCAGGTCTCACTATGTTGCCCTCTCTGGTCCCAAGCTCCTGGCCTCAAGGGATCCTCCCACCCTGGCCTCCTAAAGTGCTGGGATTACAGGCATGAGGCACCATGCCTGGCTGTGTCTGTGTTTTAACTTGCGAGCTGTTCTTTTGCCACGCGCACGCGTGTGTGTGTGTGTGTGTGTGTGTGTGTGTGAGTCAGCTGTCTGTTTCTTTGCTGTGGGTGTATTAACCTGTTGTCTATTCCTAGTTATGTGGGCTCATTTTAGACTTTTTCCCAGCTTGTGGCTACTCCCAAACGTGCCCTAATTCAATACAAAGTCACGTGAGTGGGTGAGGAGGCCCTTCCAGCCCTTGCCCCTGGGGCTCTGGGTGTGTGTGACAGGCTGAGACAGACTCCAGCATCATCCTTGTGCTCTTGGGAGCAGAGTGGTACTGGGGCTTGGGAGAGGCCATCCTGGATAGTGTTTGGGAGACAGGACTCAGGGCTCCCCTCCAAACTGAGGCTGTACTGATACCACTATGTAAGACCCCAAGTTCTGTTCCCTTCCCCACTTCCCTCTCCATGCCCACCCCCAGCTCCAGCCACCGTCAGTACCAGTGGAACTGCCACGGGAGCTTCTCAGCGTCCTAGTGTCTGTCCACTCTGGGCTCCTCCAGATCATTCTCCACCCACAGCCAGAGTGGCCCCTCTCCCTATAAATATATTATGAATCATTTTAGGCAGCAAACCTGTCTTCCAGTTAAAGAAATATGACATTACAGGCCAGGCAAGGCGGCTCATGCCTGTAATCCCAGCATTTTGGGAGACCAGGGAGGGAAGATTGCTTGAGTCCAGGAGTTCAAGATCAACTCGGGCAACAAGCAAGATGCCATCTCTACAAAAATTTAAAAAATTAGCTGGGCATGGTGGCACATACCTGTGATCCCAGCCACTGGGGAGGCTGAGGTGAGAAGACTGCTTGAGCTCAGGAGGTCGAGGCTTCAGTGAGCCAAGATTGCCACTGCACTCTAGCCTGGGCAACAGAGAAAGATCCTGTGTCTAAAAAAAAAAAAAAAAAAAAAAAGACATTACATATAGCAGGGGCTCCTAGGTGCTCTAATGTGAATATGCATTTAAAACCTATTATCTGATCCTGCCTAAAATCGCTCAGTGGGTTCCCATGGCCTTTCAAGTGAAGCGGATCCAGGACAGGCGGGACCCTGAGATGGAGACCTCCTGAGAAGTCACACTTGTCCTGGGGTGTGGTCCCAACACTTGAGCTGAGCTTCCCAGGACTCAGGGATGTGGTGCGCCCCACCCGCCCCCGCGCCCTGCTGTTCCGCACCCCTCTCACCTCATCTCCCCCTTCACCCCACCCCCGCCCCCACTCCCCAACCTCTCTGGCCAGCGCATCCAGTGTGTGGGGGAGGAGCTCAGCGCTACAGCTGTGGACACCAAGGAGGAGGCGCTCGAAAGATATTTACAAATGGGCTGGGCGCGCTGGCTCACACCTGTAATCCTAGCACTTCGGGAGGCAGAGGCAGGAGGATCGCTGGAGCCCAGGAGTTCGAGACCAGCCTGGGAAACAGGGTGAGACCTTGTCTCTCTGTATATGTATACACACTCTTTTTTCTTAAAGATATTTACAAACGAACAAAAAGTTGGAAGCACTTTGCATACCAAAGCTCAGGCGTGGGCGAGCCCGGGGGAGCCCAGACTCGGTCCGCGGGCCGGGGCCGCCTGGAACAGGGACCCCCGCTCTGCCGGACGCTCCGCTAGCCAAGCGCAGTTCGCGGTCGCCGGGCCCGCGGCTCCCGGCCGGGGCTCCGCGCTTCCGCACCGGGCTACGGGCTCCTCTCTCCGCCTCCTGCGCCCGGCCAGCTCCGGAGGACACTGATGGGTGCGTGAATGGGTGCAAGAACCAGGGAACGGGGGCGCGAACGCCAGCACCCCCAGGCGGCAGCGCCCTCCGAGGGCCCCGCGGAGCTCGGCGGGGGTGCGGGGCGGTTCCAGGAGGCTCCCCCGCTGCTGGGGATCCAGCCCGGGCCCTGGCATCGCGGCCGCCGGCAGCAAGGACGCGGGTGTAAAGAGCCGGGTTAGGAGGAACCCCCGCCCTCCGAGGGAGCCCGTCTGCGAGTGCGCGAGGCCTGGGCCTCGGCAGGGGGCGCCCGGGCCCCCTGGCTCCGCCCCATTTCCCTCCGGCGTCGGGGAGGGGGCTGCGGTGTTCCGGGGGTCTTCGGATTCGCTCGGGGAAGGAATGCGGGACCTCTGCGTCCCAGAAGCCCGTCCGGATCTCCCGCCCTGAAAGCCGGCGCGGTTCGGGTAACTGAAAGTGGCTGAAGCCTGACCCCTCGTGGTGGGAAGATTCATCACACACCCAGAGCTAGAATTATTATTACCGTTATATTTGTTTAGAGATGGGATCTCCCTATGTTGCCCAGGCTGGTCTTGAATTTCTGGACGGAAGCGATCCTCCTGCTTCAGCCTCCCGAGTAGCTGGGACTACAGGCGGACGCCACCACATCTGCTTAGAATTATAATAAATTCGAATTCTCATAGCGCTTACTACAGCCAGCACTAACTAAAGCTTAACATATACGAAGTCATTTCATTCTCTCAACAGTCCTAGCAGGTGGTACCTCATTATCCCCATCTTAGAGCTGTGGGAATGAGGCCCAGGCTGCAGGAGTGATTTCTACAAGGTTACAGGGTCACACAGCAAGCAGGCAGTGAAGCTGGGATTTGAATCCAGAATTAGAGCCTTAACCTCTACGGATAATTATAACGCACACATTTCCTCCCCTTTGCGCAGTTTTAAGAGCACACCAGCTTCATCTATTCATGTTCTCATTTTAGATCTGGATTCACTGCCTTCTTCCTCACCTAAGTCATCAGCACATCCTGATCGAATGACTCAGAGGCTGAAAATACGCCCATCTTTTAAAAGCTACCCCTCAAAGTGAAAATTAAAAGCACAATGAGATGTCACGAGTGTTGGTGAGGGTGTCGAGCAAGTGAGACTCTCACTGCTCGGGCCGTGTGAAATGGTGCAGTTACTTTAGTGTTTTATAAAGTCAAGCTATGCTTACCATGTTAACTGACAGTTCCGCTCTTGCTGTTTACCTGACAGAAATTAAAACATACAGCCCAGCCTTTCACATGTTACAGCAGCTTTCTCCAGCACACTCCCAGCCTGGATGCAGACCAGACGTCCACCAGCATTTGAATAACCACATCGTAGTTCATCCATGCAACTGAATACTGTGAATACCGCTCAGCAGTAAAAAGGAACAAACTCGCGATACACACAATGGCATGAATGCATCCCAGAAGCATCCACTGAGCCTGGGGAGCCAGATGCACATCCCTGCTTGCTGGGCGGCTCTATGTGCATGAGACTCTGGACAAGATACAGGACCCTTTGGTGACAAACAGCGCATCAGTGGCCTCCTGGTCCAAAGCTGGTGGTGGCAGATATTATTTTGGAAACTTAAAATGCACTCCTAAGTAATTTATGGCTTAAAGAGGAATCATGAGAAGTTTTAGAAAATATTTAGAGTTGAATGATTAAAAAAAGAGCACAGGCCAGATGCAGTGGCTAATACTTGTAATCCCAACACTTTGGGAGGCTGAGACGGGAGGATCACTTGAGGTCAGGAGTTCAAGAACAGCCTGGCCAACATGGTGAAATCCTGTCTCCACTAAAAAATATAAAAAATTAGCCAGGAGTGGTGGCACACGCCTGTAATCCCAGTTACTAGGGAGGCTGAGGTGGGAGAATAGCTTGAACCCAGGAGGTAGGGCTACAGTGAGCCGAGATCGTGCCACTGCACTCCAGCCTGGGTGACAGAGCGAGACTCCATTTCGAAAATAAATAGGCCAGGCACAGTGGCTCATGCCTGTAATCCCAGCACTTTGGGAGGCCAATGCAGGTGGATCACCTGAGGTTGGGAGTTCAAGACCAGCCTGACCAATATGGTAAAAGCCCGTCTCTACTAAAAATACAAAATTAGCCAGGTGTGGCAGCCACCTGTAATCCCAGCTACTTGGGAGGCTGAGGTAGGAGAATTGCTTGAACCCGGGAGGCAGAGGTTGCGATGAGTCTAGATCTCGCCATTGCACTCCAGACTGGGCGACAAGAGGGAAACTTCATCTCATTAAATAAATAGATAAATAAGTAAATAAAGTACAAAATTCATGGGTGCAAATAAGAACGATTGAAAAGAAGTATGCTCAGCGTCTAGCGGCTGCCTGCAGTCCTTGCTTCCTCATCTCCAAAGCCAGCAGCACATCTTCCAATCTCTCTTAGATTCTCACCCTCTTATAAGGCCCCTGTGATTGCATGGGGCCCACTTGGAAAACCTAGGATAATCTCCCCATCTCAAGGTCTTTAACTTAATCCCATCTGTAAAGCCTCTTCTGTCCTGGAAGGCAGCAAAGTTCCAGGTTCCAGGGATTAAGATGTGAACATCTTTGGGGGTTGCTATTCTACCGACCACAGGGAGCAGGAGTGAAGCATCTGAACCTGGGGTCTCAAGCCAGGGCTCTCCTCAGCACCAGCTGGCCCTCAGCAGGAGACTCAGCCGGCACTCTCCACTGCCAGCCCTGAACTCGCCTCTCCTGCTCCCTTCCTGCGGCTCTGGAGGATTCCTGGGCACCAGTTGGAGAGATGGGCAGAGTGGGGGCTGCACACCAGAGCCTGCAGAGTCTCAGGGCCCCATGGACCTGGCTGCCCCGCTCCCCATCCCTCCTTCCTCAGCGTCCCCTCCCTGCCCCCTTGGAACCAGCCAGGGTGGCACCAGAAGAGTGTGGGGTGATGGGAGCAGGTGCCAACAGGATTTGTGTAGGATGGAGGGCACAAGGAGGCCTGGCCTGGTTGTGTGGGACTTTATTTTATGGTCCTGAGTGCCATCAAGGGGGGCAAGCCTGTCCCTACTCTGGTTAGTTAGGAAAGATGTGTGTCACTAAGGGGAGGCCCTGGCCTCGCAAAGGTAGGAAAGAGCGTGCCTGCTCCAGCCCAGGGAGGGAGGCTCTGTGCTGCGTCCCAGCCTCTGTCCCTGCGTGGTCCCAGTGCCGCTGTCCCCTTGGAGCAGGGCTCTTCAACATCCTGAGTTGCCGCAAGACCCTGCTGTGAGGCAGAGACACCACACGAAGTCACACTGTCCCCACCTGGGTCCCTGGCCCTGCATCTTTGTCGCCTGATCTGGGAAAGGTGCCCATGAAATCCCTCCTCACAGACCCGCCATGAGGCTCAACAGCAAGTGGAGACAGTGGCATCAGCTTGTGATCTTTTAATGGATTCTCACTGTTTAATTAATGTCCACGTTGAAGCTCACAACGAGCCTGCCATGTTGGCGAGTTCTGTGCAGTTAACCCCCTTCACAGATGAGCAGGCTCCTCCTGGAGGAGCAGTGGGACTGGTCACAGGTGAGTGAGCGTGGAGTGCTCCTGAGAGCCCACGGCACAGGACACCTGGCTGCAGTAGCAGGGACCCCCCCGAGTTGCCCTGGGCACCCTCTGGCTGGGCTCCTGAGGGGGCCTGGAGGAGACTTAGGAGCAGCCATGGCCCTGGGAGATGAGACAGAATGGGAGGGCGGGAGGAGCAGCTTTGTGCCTGCCAGGGCCTGAGGGGACAACTGCACCAAGTGTGCCTCTCTTTGCTTTTCCTGATGATGGGGGCAGCTCTGCAGCTGCTGTGTGTCTCCCGCTGTTTGTCGCCTCCCAGCAGTGCCCGTGATGGTGGGAAGTGACACGGTCACCTGGTTTGATGCTTTGCGCCCTCCTGCCCCTTCCCCAGGCAGGAGGTCAGCGCCGGCCTGTGGCTTTTCGCTGGGTGGTGGATTCAGGTTCTGCTAACTTCCTAAAAGAGATGACAGGGACTGTCACTTTCTACTCTCTGGGAAGAGTTTGTTCCTTAAAGATTTTGATAAAACTGGACTTTCAAATGGTCCCAGCCCGATACCGTTCCAGGGTTAGAGTTCTGACTTCCGGGTTCCATTTCTGCTACAGCTCTATTTCTAGCCAGCTGTTCTATTTTTTTTTCAAGTCAATATCGGTAACTTATCCCCTTCTAGTCTACTGATTATTCCATCTAGAATGTCAAATGCACTGGCATAAAGATGTCCCCGGAGTAAACTGGAACTGTGCATGCCTGCTCCGTCGGTAGGGATGCCCTCTGGCCTGGCTATCTCATCTGTGTCATGAACACACGGCAGGTGCCTCAGTCCCCTGGGCATCACTGGGCCCAGTCCCCACCCCACAGTCATCTCCTGTCTAAGTGGCCTCCCTCTCTGGCTCCCAGCATCATCACCTGGGCAGGGCAGCTCTAAGGAAAGGCCAGTGCTGCGGGCATTGAAATGTGTGCCCTGCACTGGAGGGGCTGGCACTGTCCACACTCAATGCTGCCCCCTTGGTGTCAGGGGAGCAAGGGGCCGAATGGGATGACAGCTCTTTCTTCAGCTGAGCAGATCCTCCCCAAACACGGCTTTCCACGGCTTCTCCTCAGCTAAGAAGCTTCCGTCGCCCGGTGACCCATCCCAGCGCCTACCAGCAAACAGGCAGGGTGGAATCCCACCTTGGCCCTAGAGGCCAGTGGCAGCCCAGCTGCTGGGACGGATTCTCCCTTGGCACCTCTGAGCTATTCCAGGCTGTGTCTCAGGTGCTGGGTGGCTGCTGCAGGAGCTCCGGTGAGGCTGCTGGATTCAGTTCTACCTCCCTAGCGGGGTGTGGGCTCAGCCTGTGTGTGTGTGTGCAAGGACAGGGTGTGGACTTACAGTGCAAGAGGCTCCTTGGAGGGCTTGGAGTCCTGCAAGGCCGATGCCCCCCAAGACGCTTGTGTTTCCCAGGAGCAGGACCCTCCTCAAGACCGCCCACATGCCAGGGCACATGTCCCAAGGGTACATTAGGCCCAGAGAAGACACTGGGATTTCCTGGATTCCAAGCGAGGTCACCCTCAGGATGTGCCGGACCTAGGCATGTATTCCGAGCAGAATGGCTTTCTATATACACAATTGGAGTCCCTTGAAATCCGTCCACCCCATCACTCCGCTGGCTCATCTTGGGCACCCAGACCTGGTCAGGGCGATGGACTCACTTGCCAGGCCCACCACCTGGAAGCTGCTGCAGGGTTCGGTGGAGTTCCCTGGGAAGCTCCAGGCCCCTGTGTTCTTTGGGGCCGCTGGTCAGCCGTCCCCCTCATGGGGGTGTGACCCAGCTTAGCTCTGGGCTGCCACCTGATGGCACTGCCAGCCGTGGCCAGTCGCAGCAACCAGAGAGGGACTACGACATTTTTGAGTATGAA